CAGAAAACAATAGCAACAAAATAACACTGCACTAGATGTGAATAAGTTACACTAAGTTCCTAAATATATCTCTATATGCAACATTCATGGTGGTTGTCTTCTCAACACCTATACCATCATACAAAAGAATTTTCAAACCTTTAATGCTATTAATCCTTAACCATACGACATATAATTGACTATGTATAAAAAAGGGTTTAGTGAGATATAATCCAACATCTCTCAATTATTGTCTCTAACTTCTATTAATAGTCATTGCAAAGGAAAGATTGACAAGAAATTGTCTTTGTTACATACGAAATTGTCATATGCTTTTTGAAGGATTTATGTTCATTTGATGAATTGATACTTTTGATTTTGCTTTGATCCATTCAATGTTATACCTTTAATAACACTTTTTTCCAATATGAGTGATATGTAATCTTGTACCATTACATACACCAGATGCTTGATTTATATTTCTTAACAACATTATAGGTGCTCTTATCTTTAGTGTAAGTTTATGAAAAGCAAGTGATTGTATTAAAGAATTCAGTAGTATAAAGATCATCAAAAGAATTACTATCCTCAATAGACTTATAGATTGAGTCTAAACTTAAATATTTAATTGATTCACCAAGTAGTAAAGAAAACATGTAATCATTGACATGATCAACACTCTCAATAGTAGGAGTTAGTATTGCTCTATCATTTGAAATATTTAGTGTTATACAAATTTTGCAATAGACATGGATAAGTGGATGCTACAATTGCTTCCATTGGTCCCAATGGTTAGATATCAATAAATGGAGAGGGATTTATATCTTTGCTAGGCCATCATGAGGTAGTCTTGATACTCTATCACCTACCTCTAGCAACCACTTTAAAAACTTTTTCAATTCTTGGCTCTTATATATTGAAGAAAATGAAGATAGCTGCATGTTTTTCTTTAGTCTAAAAATTTGGCAATAATTCCATAAGGGTAAAGAACTAAGACATGCATTGACAATACTTTCACTTGTCTCTTTTAGAATAACGCGAAGTATTTAATGAAAATCACCACCCATGACAATACATTTCCTACTAAATTGATGATTTGAATGTATTATATTCTCAAGTGTTCAATCAAAAGCATTTATACAAAAATGTTGAACTATTGGAGCTTCTTCTCATATTATGAGTTTAGTGGATTGGATTAAATTTGCGAATGAAGAATTTTGTTTAATGCTACAAACAGAATCTTCAATAATTTGAATAAGAATTGCAAATCTTGATTGTACTATTCTTCCTAAAGGCAATAAAATCCTAGCAATTTCACTTGACACAAGAGTCAAAGCAATATCTCTGTTCACATGAATTGATGATGATAATGTATTCCATAATAATGTTTTTCCAGTGCCTTTATATCCATAAACAAAGAAGAAACAACCGGTTGATGATGACAATGATTACATGTGTTAAGGGCTATTTGTTATTGAAACAAGTTGGGTTGTAGTGCAATTAACATATTGATGTTGTATTGAATGAAATTAGAGTAGGTTAGCAATCTCCTTATCAATGACCAAGCTGTAATTTTTTTTTTTTGGGGTAACAAATGAACAAGCTATATTTATGAGTGAAGTTAGTGGGTCAAATATGCAATTCGATCCATTGGTGGTGCATTTCAATGTATTTATAATTAATACTGGGTTTCATGTAGTTACTTTTACAAGAATTCATATTAGATATTCAAAATTCAATTCAGTTAAAAAAAATTATATCAAAGATTCAAATTTAAAAAGGAAAATAAAGCCTTAGTCTTAAAGAAATGGCAAATAAAAAAACGTAATTAAACACAAACGCAATTAAACGTAATAAAAATAATTCACTTTTTATATTCCTTCTTCATAAATATTCATTTACAAAAAAGCAGTTACCAATTAAAAAAAAAAAAGCAGTGCCAGTGGAGAAAACATACATACTCTTCATTAAAAAAAGATAAAATTTTTGTGAACTTATTCAAAAGTTTTTCCTTTTATATATACACACACTAATAATATATTTTCTCTCACCAATTCAATATATATATATATATATATAAGCGACAAAATTAGAAATTTGTTAACTTTTTAGATAGAGTTAATAAATTTTAAGTTTTTTTTAATTATGGTTAAACATATTGACTTGTAAATAGGATAAAAAGAGTATGAATGTACGAATGTATGCATGTATGTATGTTGAGTTGAAAAATTTATAAATTTATAAAAATACTAATTTATTATCTCATAATATTAACTTTTTTTTTCTTAAAACCTAATTAAGAAATAAAAATACCTCATTCTTTCTTTTACAAGAAATGTTGGGAAATTATGGGCCCTCTTGTTATGAAAGCAATACAAGAATTCTTTAGGATTATGGGAAGATTCTACATCAAATTAAAGTTACTGCAATATCCCTAGTCCACAAGAAAATCCAATGCAAGTGAAGGATTTCCAGCCTATTACCTGTTGCAATGTCTTAAAGGTCATTTTAGGAAAAATATCCCACTTAGTACCTTTAAGATTGATTTGCATGATGCTTATGATTCTATTGAGTGGGAATTCTTAAGAGCAACCATGGAAGGATTAGAGTTTATAATTTATTTTTTTCATCTTAAATTATATGAAATTCAAGATAAAATTACACATATTAATAAAGCACTTTATAAACTTACATTCTTGAAACAAAAATATAAACCTTAAAAAATATTAGCATTTGATATAATTTTAAATTTACACATTTAGTCATTAGTACAATTATTTAAATTCTCTCTCCTCTTAAAAATTAATAATATAAAAATATTATTAATAAAATTTATTGTTGTTAGTTTTTTATTTATTTCAGGACGGCAAAATACTTCCAGAATTGTCTTATCATTTGGACAGAGATAGTAATATTTATTCAATGAGCACTTACACGTGTTTGGAAATCTAAATAACTGTTCGACAACAATAAAAAAACTAGATGGCTAGCTGCTTTCTTGGAGGAAAAGGGATATCACAAGTCAATGAGACACAATATATCCTTATTTGTTTTGAATTATATAGGATATAAGAAAGATGTCTCAATAAAATATTTGGGGTATCTTTAAAATCAAATAATTCAGTTTGTGTTGATGATGGATCCTCAATAAAAAAAGATGAGGTGAATTGTATTAAACATTGGACAATAAGGCAACTCAACTATGTAGGCAAGATCCAATTGATCTTTTCAATTATATTGAATAGTCAATGAATTTTTTATAGGGGACTTATAATTTTCAGAAGCTTTATTTATAATCTTCTCTTTTCATTAATGTTCAAATTGATAAAAAATTTTCAAGAATAACATTGCACCATCTTAAATTTTAAGATGACTAGCCTGCCTAAAAGCATACTTCACTGACAAATTTATATCTTAACTTTACATTTGTCCAAATTAACTATAACTGTATTGTAATATGTGATAGTTATTTTTTTTACAGTAATTTCTTCTGTAAAATATGGTTCCCCATGCTCATCATTATCACAAGGTTTAAACCAACCTTAAAATATTAAATTATAGCCCCTTTTATTATTATCAATTTTTTATAGGAATCTCTCAAGAAGTTTGCTTTGGTTTCTTTTAAAAGATCCATTTCAAATGATCTAATGCATTTATTTATTTTTTTTCTTAGGATCCTTTTGAGCATTTTGTTCTTTAGCCTTTTCTATAAGAACCCATCCATTTTGTGTGTCCTGCATTAGATGCTTTTTTTTTTTTTAAACCCACAATACTCCTAAATAATGCTCAATTTTTTATTGGTAAAAGTTATTATTAATTAAGACATCCCACTAAATGCCAAGGGTAATTGTGGAAGAGTAACATAAATACTTGAGACATTAATTAAAAATAACTAATTTAACTAATTTTTTTAATTTTAATGAATTAGTTAAAAGAGTTATTAGGTAAAAAGGAATTATTCAATTATTTTAGGGGTAATTTTGGAATATACACAAAAGACAACAAATAATTAAATATATTTTTTGAAAGACTGTCTTTAAAAATTTAATTCCTATTTAAATAAGTAAATAAATATAAAAAAAATAAAAGGTAGAATGATAGTAAAGTTTCTAAAAAGCAATAAATCACAATTAGTTTTATGACATTTTAAAAAAAAAATTAATGAGATTGAATCTAGTAAAAGTGGCTAATCCTTTATAATATAATAAATTAAAGTTTAAATTTTATTAAAAGAGATATCTAAATTTAATGTTTGACTATGTCTCGAATATAATTACTCTGCGTAAAAGATACTTGGGAACAATCATTTTTTAAAAATAATTTACAAATATTAATTCAAATGGTTGTAAATATAAATTTTAATTGAAAATGAATTTATAATTATTTAAATTAATAATTTTAATTTATTTTTAAATTTTTTTATCAAAAACTAGCTGTCCATTAATTTCTTTTCTTTGGACTTAACTATAATTTTCCTAAAAATAAAAAATAAAATTAGACAGAGTCTAATAAAATGATATAAAAAAGATTAAAAATAAAATATTGCCCAAAAAAAATCATATTCTTCTTAATCTGAGAATTTTAACGAGGTCTTTCTGTGTATTTATAAAAATATGATAAATTAGTTACATTCTTTATAAAGTTTTATTTATTTAAAGTCTTGACGGGGACAAAAATCATAATGTCTTCACAAAATCAAAAAAACAAAGACAGGGAGAAGTTTGGATTGTTTAAAGTTATTTTTATTTAATTATTTTAAAAATTAATATTTTATAAAATATGTTTTAAGAAAAGATATTTTTTTCATGCTTTTTTATTCTTTTAAAAATATTTTTATTTTTTTAAATAATTTTTTATTTTTTACTTTTTAAAAATATATTACCAATTCTTTCTGAAACAGGTTTCTTAAATCTTTTGTTTTTTCTGTCTCTTGATGAGCATGCGCATGCGTCTTATTATACATGCAAAAAATAATTATAATGCGCACACACATACCGATGATTCAAGGTGCGTTATTACATTTGGCTTTTGGATCGTGACCGTGACAACTCGACGCCGTGCCAATGCTTTCAGTTTGTGCTTGAAATTGGATGGAGCCGCCATCTTTGAAGATGATTTCTCCAATCTCCTTTACCATTACGCTTCATCTTGCATAACTCTTATCTCTTTTTTCATCCACAGATATTTTACCAACATAACCCGCGCGAAGTTTCCTAGTCTTTCTCACCACACCTCATTGCCGTTTTATTCAATGACGTGTGCGCTGAATCACTGATTCTCTGGTTGCGTATTGTTTGTTTTGTAAGCTCGTCACAGTTGGGAGTTCGTTGTCAAGATTTTCTCTAGAAATCTGATTGTGAGGTTGTGTCTTTGTTTCTGATTCTGTTTTCTTGATTTTTGGTTTTCCGAACCGAAAAACGTAAATGGTTTATTAGGAAGGAGAATCTTGGTGTTGGGGTAAACAAAAATGACGGACAACAACAACATCAACAATAATGACGATAATGAGGATGACGGAAATAGAGAGCCGTTGCTGAAGAAACATGGCTATGAGAACTGTCCAGGGTGTAAGGTGGATCGGGCCAAAGAAGTGACCCACGGCGTACCTATAAAGCATCTTGTCAATATATGGTTGATAACATTGTGCAGCTGTAAGTTTTTACTCTCTTCTCATGATTTACTGAGTAAATTAGTCAATTTGGTCCCTCGATTATTGTATCCGTAACTCAGGAAGCTTTTAATGGGTGGTTGTTTTAGTTTCAAAGTACATGGATGATTAGTTTGGGGAAATTCATGCCAAATTGACGTATTTTGAGAGCTCAATTTGCTTATGTTAGCATATTCAACTACTAGTGAGTAGTAGAACTGTATAAGTACGATGGGTTTCGCAACTTTCATTATTTTTGTTGTTATGGGCCCTTTTTTTCCCTGTTTGAACTTTTCAGATAAACCATCGAAAATTTGACCTGATGTATCCTTTCTGGCGTCAGACAAATATGGGTGTTTATGGAACATGACAAATGAGCCAACTTGAAACGATTGTTCAGGGATTTTTTTTTTTGATAAATCGTTCAGCGAAAATTTTTAGAAAACTCTTTTGCCCCATAAGATTAATGATTCTTAAAATTATCTTACAATTGTAAAATATTGTTAGGTGCCCTCCCGAAATCCAGCTGGAATATTCTAGTGTTCTAGTTCTAATTGGAAAACCCAAATTTAATCTAAACTACTGTTCTTCTGTATTCTTTATTTTCTGGGGAGAAGAGCCTACTTGGAGGATGATTCAGTGATAGTTTCAAAAGGCTGCAATTTAGTCTATTTACATGAGGGGTTATTGCCAAATTTTGATGCTGTTTTTTTTTAATTTTTTTTTGGAAAGTATCTGATTTGTATTTTCTGCAGCGCTGCCTATATCGTCTCTCTTTCCGTTCCTTTATTTCATGGTGAGTTTGGTTTTTCACTTGCCTTTACTGTTACCTTCTTGATGCATTTTTTGATGCCCATATCTGGGGGAATATATATATATATATATTTTGGATATTCCAAGTTATTAATTTCAATATTATACTTTTGTTGGAAATAAGAAGTTCCTGGTCCTTTTTAGTATGAGTTGGTTATACTAATTTTATTCAGGTTGATACTAAGCACTTTATTAAATGAATTTGAGCGACAATTTACAGTTATATCCTATTTTCTTTAATATATATATATTTTTAAAATTGGTTCTATTTTGTAGGTCTGTAGTTTAAGAAACTTCTACATTTAGTCCTTGTTCCAATGTTGAAGTATTTTCTTTTGCAAAAAATGAAGAACTATAAGCACACATTATAACAGTATTAGTGTTTCAACATTAGGCGAGCTTATTGTCTAAAAGTTACGTCTCCCACTCTTCTTTTTCCTTCATTTTCTTATTTACAAGAAGAAAAGTTTTCCTATGCAAGTAGAAAGTCATTTTCTTTTCTAATGAAATTACTTCAACTAATCTCAATTCAAGCTTAAAAAGAGTCTGACTAATCACTTTAACATGAAACATTATTATTTTACATTCTGCTTTCTCATTCGTGATGAAATAACTCAAGAAATAAAACCTTTGGTAAATCTTCAACTTCATTACTGCATACTTTCTTAGCATGTAAGAGCATCCTCAGAAATGCAAGCTTGTAATATGATCTATTATTAAGTGTTTACTTGCAGGTTAGAGATTTTGGTATTGCAAAAAAAGAGGCAGATATAAGTTCCTATGCTGGTTATGTGGGTAAGGTTCCTTTTAGTCCTTCCATTCCATTGGTGTGTATGAGTACAATTTATAGACTTCCAAATTAAATTACTGGTACCCAATGAAATATGTTGTAGGATCTGCATTCATGTTTGGCAGAGGATTGACATCTGTACCATGGGGAATGGTGGCTGATCAATATGGTCGAAAGCCTGTTGCAGTTTTGGGAATAATTGCAGTGTAAGCAAGCCTTTCACTGATTTGGATGCTTTCTTTTAAGCCTTGAGATAAAGTATTCAATACTGATAATACTTCTTATTTGACTGCAGCGTTGTGTTCAACACTCTATTTGGCCTTAGCACAAGTTTTTGGATGGCTGTCACCACAAGATTTCTTCTTGGAGGCTTAAATGGATTGCTTGGACCAATGAAGGTACCATTTTTAGATGTACCAGATGGTGGTTATTTAAAATTGTGTGAGTTGATATGCAGTCTTTAAAAAGTACACTTTGGCTCAATTTGGTACTCCAAAGTTTTAATTTCTCATTTTATGTTTTCAAAGGATATTTGTCTTCAATAGCCTATTCATATAAAATTCATATAGGGGGATGAAATGGATTAATGTCAAGTTGATGTGATCGTTAAGTTAGTGCCCAGTGGTCGTAATAAGATATGCCATGACAGGACACCATTCTGTTTTAGTGCTTTGCTACAGCAAATTGAAATGACCAAGGGGGCATATAGATGCCCTATTAACTTTGTATTATGTCATAAGACCCATTTTTAATAGTTATTTGTTAATGGGTTAAGGCAAGGAAATCTTGAAGATGAAGTACTCTTTGAAAGACTTAAAATGAGACATCCATCCAAACTAAAGAGATCAAACTGAGACAGGGTATCTTTAGTAGTCTGAAATTTAAGTTCACTACCAGCGCTGAGGCACAATTAGAAGTTTGAATTTGTTTACTTGATAATCAGTCCGTCTTTTTTCTTTTCTTTCCAAGATTTGTTTCTATCTGATTGTAGATGTTTAACCTCCTTTAACATATCAACATCCACTTTCACTAGGCTTATGCTGTTGAAATTGTTCGAGAAGAATACCAAGCTATAGGACTCTCAACTGTAAGACTATTTTACGTTGATTTGCATTTAGTTCTTAGTTGCACATTTTCTTCATGGTAATTTGTTAGCGTGATCTGGTTTCAGGTCAGTGCAGCTTGGGGCATTGGTTTAGTCGTTGGCCCAGCATTGGGAGGCTATTTGGCTCAGGTACTTTCCTCTTTGCCTTGTGCGGTAAGCTATATCTTAGAATAGGCTTTGACATTTGCTCATGGAGACATGAGATAACTTGTTTCGTTGGTGGAACTCCTCATAGATTGAGTGTTTATCTTTACCTGAAGTCTTATGTGTGGTTTGGAATACAAAATATGATAAAATAAATGGAATAAATGAATGACTTTGAGGAGGAAAATGACTCATGTGCCCGTACTTTAAAAAAGTAACAAACTTGACTCTTGCGCCCTATCTAGAAGGGAATGAGAAAAATATTTTGAGGATGACCCTGATCCTTCTTTAAATTTTACATTTTGAAAGTCATTTGTTGACATTCCATGTAAGTAGGCATATTGAGACAGCTGATAGCCTGAATCTCTGTATTTTAAAATAAAGGAAAGGATGGTAGCAATTAAACAAATACTCCTTTACATGTTTTACTTATTTCTAAAAATGAAGTTGTCATGCCTATATGTGTGTGTGTGGAAGCATGCTCATAAGAATACTTATAAATTATTTCTCTACTAATTTTTGGGGAATTTTGATTGCAGCCAGTGGAGAAATATCCACATATATTCTCTAAAGGTTCATTTTTTGATAAGTAAGTTCCCTTGTCCTTCTTTTAAATGATAATAGTAATAGAAAGTGTTACAATGTTGGCTTCCCATGTTATTTTAATTTTATTGTATTTTCATTTGTCATTTTCCTTTATTTGTCAAGGTAAGTATATTCATTTGTGGAGACACATGACTTGCAGGTTTCCATACTCCTTGCCCAGCTTAATAATATCAGTCTTCGCACTTCTTGTGTTAGTTTCCTGCATCTGGCTCCCGGTATGTATGCCAAACAACCTGCATATCTATCAATAATTGTAACTTATATTTAGTACTAAGGTTATCAAAATCAAAGCCCAAAGCCACTAATCCTTAACACATTTATTTTAACTATCGCAAGCTCACTATTCCAAAACATCCTAGGCTCCAAAATGTCTAGATCAGCCTTATATGACTCTGTCCTGTTGATGTTTTGAGACTACCATTATCCTTCAATTCAAAAATATAATTTATATCTGCGTTGTTGGCATTTTATTTCTTTCTAAGGAAATTAATGAATCCCTTGAGCTCTCTTTTTTATGTATAGAGCCTCATTTTTGTTAAATCTATTGATAGATTTTACCTTTTCCAACTTTTTATTCATTTTATGGGTCTCCACGCAATTTTAACGTATAATATATTAGTGAAAAGAATTACATTACAAATACTATATTTTAGACTGTTTCTTTTTGACAAATAAGGACTACCTTCAGATATTAGAATAATGTAAGTAATGTTTTATACAATGTGAGTTGCTGCAGGAAACATTGCACAAGCACAATGATAGCAACGAGTCCTATCAGGATACAGAAGCTTTTGGTAACGTAAACATAGGAAAGAGAGTTCAGAAAGATGAAAACATCTTACTGAATTGGCCCCTGATGTCATCCATTATTGTTTATTGTGTTGTCGCCCTACATAATATTGCTTATCAAGAGGTATTCTTCCTACTTAATAATGAACAACTAGTTTTGATGCATTTCCTATTATTTGTGTTGTTTGGGGCTCTCTTTTGCTTTCTATCTTGTTATCCATACCTGTATTTCATTTTGATCCTTGAACAATGCTGTGTCAAATATCAAATTTCATATACAAATGATTTGTGTGTGACTTTAGTTCTTGAAAGTATGATATTGTTCTTATTTTATTTTTCCAGATGTAGTAGTACTTTCATACTGAAATGATAATTTTACAATATTTCAAGGATAAAATACGCTGCAGTGTTGAAATAAATCATATTCTTAGATACTAAAGTGATACAAAATATTTTTGGAGCATTAAATTGAATATCTTTCACGGACCAACATGTTTGCGCCCCCCCCCCCCGAAAAAAAAAAAAAAAATTCCCCCCTTATTCCGGGCTGTAAGTTACCGCCGTTTTACTTTCTGCAGGTTTTCTCATTATGGGCCGTCAGTCCTCTAAGGTTGGGGGGTTTGAACTTTACAACCAATGATGTCGGTAATGTTCTTTCAATATCAGGTGTGTTCTTGATGGCTACAAATTTCTACGTATAGATTAATGTTGTAAATTATTGTGTTTCCTTTTAAACTTTCATCCCTAATTATCACATAAACTTAACTGCATTGCCTGACTAGGTCATACACTAACTTCCTCAAAAGCTCATTCTGTAAACCAGTCTTGTTGAGTAAATTTCAGTTATATGAATTTAGGAAAACTCTTGATAGGCATATAAAAGATTATCATAACTTGGTTTTGTGTTGGGGAAACTTAGGTAAAGTCTCTTTGTTTTTATCAAGTTCTCCATTGAAAAATTAACTTGCAGAGCAAGTTTATCAGCTTTTTAGTTCTGCACCATGAAATATTCAAATGTGTCGAGTTTTTATTGGAGGACTTGACAGCAAACATAAAAAACTTCACTTAAGTTCTATCCTTTTTGATTTGCGGTCATGCATTCATCTAACTGAAGCCATACTCCATGCGGTGGTTTAATAACTGCTTTATAACCTCAGATTGATGTTTATTGGCATGCCTAGCCCCAAATGTCACTTTTTCTTCCTTTTTATAACGGCTCTTTCATGCGCCAAATTGTTTTGAGTCTCAAACCAGTTGCTATTATTTCCATAATCTTTTGAAATCTGTTGAATGAAGTTGTTTAATAAAATTGTTCTGGACTGGACTTCTTATATGAATGTAGATTTATTTACTCTTGTTATTCATGCAAGTAAAATGGCAAGCACTACATATATGAACTTTTCATATAGTTTGAGACGGAATAGATGTGCATGGCAAAGACACAGTGTTTTGACATTTTCTGTGCGTTGATCTTTCTTTGTACCTAGTGATTATGCTGATTAATACTGGCTTTTTCTTAATTGGTTAGGTCTTGTTCTTTTGATGTACCAACTTTTCCTTTTTCCTGTGGTGGAGAAAGCTTGTGGACCTATTACACTTTCTCGCATTTCGGGGGTCAGCTTTTGCTCTCATGCAACAGTGCTATAATTCTGCAATTTCAGTGTTCGTTATTTTAACTGTACTGTTTTTTGGGTGCCATGTGCAGGCTATAACCATACCTCTCTTGCAAAGTTACCCTTTCATAGCATTGCTATCTGGCTTCACACTTCATCTATTGATAACTAGTGCTTCCGTCCTCAAGTATTGTCTCTCTGTAAGTGCATCTGGTTTTTAATCTTACCAAGCACAATAGTAATAATGAAGGGTTGAAGTGAAGTAGAATAGCTTAAATGGAGTATTTTTGCAAGTTTCTTCATTCTATTAAATATAAGCAGTAGCAATTATTAGAGATAAAGAGTCCTGCATTTAGTAATTAGAAGATGGATTAAGAATATATAAAGTTTAAGACGTGTCTAACCAAATAGCTATATTTTGGTGAAACAGATTACCATCAAGCATACTTAATACAAAGTGTTTAACATGGTATCAGAGCCATTTGATTGGGGGAAAAAAAGGAAGGAAAAAAAAAGAATGAATGAAAAGATGAAAAGAAAACAAGAGATTAAAAAAAAAAAAGAGAGAAGAAGAAAGAAAAAATTGAATAAACCTGAAGCCTCTATGACTTAAAAAAAAATGTACAAGCTTAGTCAAGAAGAAGAAGAAAGTGAAAAAAATGAGAAAAGAAAAGTAGTAGAGGAAATATTAGAGATAAAGAGTTCCACATCTTGTAATTAGAAGATAGATTAAGAATATACAAAGCTTAGAGTGTGTCTAACCAAATAGCTAGCACACAGGCATAGGGACACGGCAGTCATATATGTCCATTTGTAATTCAATTTATGTCATGTCATGTCCAATGTAGCTGTTTAACTTGTTGTGTCTCGTCATAGAAAGAGATGATTGTTGTCTTGCCAACGTATATAATGACGGAAGCGTTTGATTTAGAATCTATAGCCCTTTAAGAGCTTCAAATTTAAGAAACAAAGCAATTAGTCATCAGATTCAGTTAAAGCAATGTTGTATTGTTGTCACGGTAGTTCAATCATTTGAGTAAATTGGTCATTGTAATGTTAATTAAACTGTTTTTCCCCTTCCATTAAAAAACATGAATAACATTAAACGTACAAGACTGATTGAAATTTAGAGCTAAATTGTAATAATAAATAAACTGAATGGGCTAAAGATGCATTTAAGCCTACAATTTGTTTAAATGCTGAAAACAGTAAACTCTATCTCCTTCGTGCATTATGAGCTTGCCTGATTGTAATGTTTTTTCTTTTTGGCTGGACCCAGCAAACCATTATTACTGGATTAATGCTTCTGCAAAACAAAGCAGTGGTAAATTTTTTTTTTAGTTCAGTTAATTATTTATTTTAAAATTTTCTTTTTCAAGTTTTGAGATTATCAATATAGGGTTGGGCTAATATGGCATGTTGATTTGATAAAAAAACAGGAACAACATCAAAGAGGAGCAGCTAATGGTATTGCTATGACTGCTATGTCAATATTCAAAGCAGTTGGTCCTGCTGGAGGTGGTGCAATGTAAGTGTGCCTATGATTTTTCCCCCCAAAATTTATCTTTTTGCATGACTGATCATTTTTAGTGAAAAATATTGCTGGCAAATTTGAGCTAAAATGGGTGGATTGAACTCCGATTAGCAACTTGTCTTTGGCTCGATTTCGCTGACGATCTGTGATTTTTTATCATTTATCGGTAGCAGTATACCCAGCTTGAAGCTAGAATAACTTATCTGTTTGCATGACTTATCATTTTTGGTGAAAGATATTGCTGTCAAAGTTGAGCTAAAATGGGTGGATTGAACTCCGATTAACAGCTGGTCTTTGGCTCGAGTTCTTCTGATGATCTGTGATTTTATATCATTTCCCGGTGGCAGTTTACCAAGCTTGAAGCTAGAATAACTTCTAAATCCTAATTTTGTTTATTTATGAAAGTAAAGATTTAGAGTGAAAGGTCATACATCTGAATTGGTTAGAGGATTTCATTTATTAACTGAGACTGTCCAGAGGATTTTAACTGATCCTTATGTTTCTGACAGTTGCTAGGCTAATTTGTTATATATCCATAAGTCACAGCTCAAACTCTTAGTTTTTATACCTTCTTTTAAAAAAAAAAAAAATTGGTTCAGTTTTCATAACTAGAACTGATTTGGTTTTGATTGGTTTAGCTGGTCTTTGATTGGTTCCGTCACAGTCTGGTTTTAGGGGTTGTTCCGGAACGGACTAAGGAATAGTTCCTAATCCAACCAATTGAACCAGCTGGTTTGATCAAAAATTTTTAAACAATGCAAAATATCACCTCTTCTCAATCTTCTGTTAATATGGGGGTCTTTTGTATTTTCACAAGGTGATGTACCAATGTTGCAAATATGGCTTAGTTTAACATGCTTGTTTTCAAAACTTATCTGCAGTTCACTGATTATGAACTTGATCAATGCAGATTAGCTTGGTCCCAGAAGCGGCTAAATGCTTCCTTTCTCCCAGGTATGATGCTACTGAATCTGATTGTGTTGAATTCTGTTTCATGTTTAGGGTGGCAACTAAGATAGTGCCCGACAAGGCTATGTATGGTGGATCCGAGCTTTTGGTATGATTAAGAACCTCAACATAAATCAGAACATCCATCCCACTTTCAATAACTAGGTGGATTTTCACTCATTACATAGATTCTGATGAATAAATTGTACTCTTCATAACTTGTAAAATGTATGACTTACTATAGATTTTATATTGAGAAAATATAACTGTTGGTCCTTGTACTTTTAATGTGTTTTGATATTGGTCTCTACATTTTTTTTTTCATTGCTCAAAGTCTCTTAAATTTCATCAATTTTCAACATTAATTCTTATCATTGACAAAATTAAATCTGCTGATGCGCGCATGACAAAGTTAATTCTATTGCGGAGTTGGTAAAAATTAAGATGATTTAGATATTGTATAAGCAAAATAACCACTAACATTTTTGCTTTTTTGTCCTAGTTGTCTTGTCTCTTTTTCCTTTTAAAGTTTCATCCATTACGTGTTTAAGGGTTTATGAGTTAATGCCTTGCTTTTTTTTTTTTTTTTCTGCTACTTACTTTTTTATGAATTAGCATAATTTTAACAAATTGACATGAGAAATAACAATATTTATGTACATGTTAGCTACTGTTATGTCCTTGTGATCATATTTAAAAATATAGAAACTAATATTGTAGACATATGAAACTTAACGGATTTTGAAGTTTGAACAATGAAAAAGATAGGGACTAATATCAAGACATGCTAAAAATATAGGGATCAATAGTTATATTTTTGCTGACCTTGTAATTGTGGAAAATCAAACCGCAGGTTCTCACTTGGTGTTCTTCATCCTGAACCTAGTAGAAGCAGTAGGACTGCTGATGATGTTCAAACCTTTCCTGGCTGAGAAAGAGACAACGCCATCAAAACAGTTACAGTGATGTCAGTAATAACATACGTTTCTGCTGAAGCCTTGAGCGATGAATGAATGGAGCAACATTCATTATATTTGAGATATTTTTGTGAAGATGATGATGATGCTTTGGCTGGTTGATGCCAGAGCAAGATATAAGTAAGAAAACAAACATAACTTTGTCTTTCTCAGTCAAAATAAGGCTTTATTCATACCTTCACAGACGTCTCTCCCAGAAACAAAGAACAAGAAAACTAACTAGAAAAAAAAGAAAGTGGAAGGAGCAGGAAAATTAGATTCTTCACCTGGGTCCTTGTGTTACAAAAATAGCATTATGAGTTGTTAGGAATTTAGCAAGTAATTCAAGGTGTTTAACAAGTCATGTTGAGCATTTAAGGAATTAAACAAATCATTTTAAGCAGCGATTCACATTTGTTTTTTCATTTTTGTTAAAGACATTTTAGTTATTTGTCTTACAAAATTATTTTTATTTTAATCTTAACATTCTGCAGTGTAGTTTTAGATTTATTTGGTCTTGATTTGTAATTAAGTCATATTCATAGTCCTAACATGAAATTTTCTGATAAATAAATAAAGGATAAAATTGAATAAATTGAAAAAAAAATTAATTATTTTAATTTTACCTCATATTAAGTACAAAAAATGTTTTCAAAGTCTGCCTTATATTGAGGAATGAAGGGATATCTTTGCTCTATGTTTGCACCCAATAATACTTTAAAGGGAAAATGATAATCAAGGACACCATAAGAATATTATTTATAGTTATAGTTTTAAATTATTGAAATTTCAATAATAAATCATAATTTTTAATCAAAATTCAAAAAAATATAAATAATCAGTTATGAAAATAACAAAATATATTTAAAATTATTTATAATATTAGTTGAAAATTTATAAAAATTAGTTGTAAATTTAAAATTTTTATTGTTAATATAATAAATCATTTGAAAAATTAACAACATACATTTGTAATTATTTATAATGTTAGTTGAAAATTTATGGAAATGAGTTGTAAATCGCATGGTATTGAAAACCGGACCGGACCGGCCGGGTCAACCCGGAAACCGGTGAACCGGTCCCCTGTCCGGTCTGGGTTTGCACTTAACCCGGTGAGGGAGTGAACCGGTGTAACCCGGTCAACCCGGGTTCAACCCGGTATAACCCGGATAACCCGGTGGGTTGACTGGGTTAACCGGGTTAATATTTTTTCAGACTTTTACCCCAAAACGACGTCGTTTTTGATTTTTTTTTTCATTTTTAATTTTTCACAGCTCTGAGTTCGGAAAAAAATAACAAAAAAAAGTAAAATTAAAGTCAAAAAATAAAAAATTAGAGATAGAGCATGCTAAGTCCAAAAATATATTATTTTATTATTGTTAGACTTTTGAGTGGTTGGATTTGGTTGAATGTTTTTATAATTAATGTCTTTTTATTTAAATTGTATTATTTTAATCATGACCGGTTTGCCACCGGTTCAACCCCCGGTTCAACCCTGATTGAACCACTAACCCGTGACCCAGTGCCATGACCGGTTTAATGACCGGTCCGGTTTTACGTACCTTGGTAAATCGTAAGTTAATCATTTGCAATTTTTTTGCTACCAATATGTAGATAAATTATTTGAAAAACTTACAAAATACACTTGATATTAATTATAAATTTATGAGAGTCAGTTATGAATCATCAGTTAATTACTTGTGATTTTTTACTATCAATTTATAAATATAATGTTTGGAAATCAACAAAAAGATATTTGAAAATTTTTTACAATATTAGTTGGAAATTTACAAAAAGCCATTGTAAATCTTAAGTTAATTAACACAAAATATTTTATTGCAAGTAAGAATTATAATTTATTATTAAAATTTTAATAATTTAAAATCTATAATTATGATTAATATTTTTATAGAGTCTCTAATTGTCATTTCCCCAACTTCAAACCTTTGTCCTATAATTAGGATAGGTGGGAGCATATAAACATTCAGTTCTCAAAGGAAGATACATAAAAAATGAAATTGATTGGAGATGAAATCAGATTATACATGTTATAAATAGTCTTGACTTTTTATAATTGTTTTAATAAAAAGGATTGAGAGATATTTTTATTTTTTTAACTATTCACGTAAAAGAATCATGTATTCTAAAAATATATTATTGTATGAATAGTTAAAGGGACAAAAATGCCATTGAATTCTAATAAAATTAAATTTTAAAAAATTGCCAAGCCAAATTAAATAAGTAAATGTAGTTGCTAATGAAAAAAAGAATGCAGTGCTACTGCAATGCGTTGAATGAATTTATAAATTTATGATTATCAACTATTATCACATGACGTTAACTTTTTCCTCAAAACCTAAGAAATAAAAAATACATGTTTTAATTGATTTATGTTAAAATTAACCAGTAAAAGTTAGATATTATATATCCATTTTTGTGCAAATATATATTATAAAAGTTATACCAAACTATATTATTTATAAATCATATCATATTATTTTTTTAATTTCACTTGTAATACATTTAAAACTCGTGTCTCATATCACACATTATTCATCAATAATATACTGATGTGATAATGTAATAGTGTCATTACAACGGAAGAAGCGCAAAAGTGAAGAATAATTCTCGGGACAACTCTAGTAGGGGTATTAACGACATTTCACCATGTGTTTTTTCCAATGAAACGGCCTTTAGCAGTTTCTGGAACACTCGAGGTGGTTCATGGGCCGTTCTCCACTTCGTATTTTTATCCTTCGACACTACTTCTCATGGTTGTGATCAAAGCTCTCGTCTTTCTTCTTCGTGCTCATCGTATTCGTCTTCACGTCTGCATTCATTGTTCTTATTCTTCCTCAGAAGATGAGGTTAGCTCGCAAATCCTAGTGTCGCCATGTTTCATTGCTTCTTTGTCTTCCATATGGGTCATCATTGGTGATAGTAATCCTGCAAATGCCAAAACAAACAATAATGGTGTATTTTTCTTTTTTCTTTTTTCTTTTTGCATTTTTGTATAAGAATGCTTGTGGTCAATCTGATTCAGAGCTAAGGGAATTCGATATTCTGACTATAATTCCCTAGTTTTCACTTTCGAGTATCTGCTTTTTAACGTCGCTTTTTTGCTTTCTTTCGGTGCGTAATTTTAAGAATTTCGTTTTCACTAACCAAGTGAGGATTGCATTATTGTACTCTAGTTCTTGTTTTCTATTTTTTTTTTTTTACCAGTTTTTCATCCTTGGTCACTCTGTTGCTTGTCAATAAATCTTCTATTTATAATATTGTGCATAAGTTGTAGACAATAACTCACAGTTATTAGGTACCCTCTGACCGTAAGCAAGGATGTTATGGACATTGGCTTCTTAGGAAGATTTAGATCAGAAGCATGATTGGCACACTTTTTGACGACGCCCTTGAGATGATAAAACGTTTAGTTTCTCATTTATGATATCTATGATTATTGTGATCTATCTAGCTTTGATGGGGTTGGTTTTTCTGGTGAGAGCTTGAAACTTGTTTGAAATCTAGACCATGAGGACCTTTCAGTGTTTCTGATTAATTTTCTGATGAATGTTCTACCTTTTTTAGCCGACACCCTATTGTGAAGTGGGCTCAGAGATCAGACAAGGTTTATGTGACTGTTGATTTGCCTGATGCTAAAGATGTAAAGGTCAAGCTAGAACCTGATGGAAGATTTAATTTCTCTGCAAAGAAAGATGAAATTCCCTATGAAGTTGACTTGGATCTATTTGATAAGGTCAATGTGGAGGTACAAACAATCAATTCTGTAGGGTGATTTAGAATTTGACCTCAATTAGAATACTAATTGATGGTTGATGGCATTTTGTAGGACAGCAAATATAATGTTGGTGTAAGAAACATAGTTTATGTTATAAAGAAAGCGGAGAAGAAATGGTGGGACAGGTTGATCAAGCCGGAAGGAAAGCCTCCTGTGTTTGTCAAAGTTGATTGGGATAAATGGGTTGACGAAGAAGAAGAGAACGGTAGGCATTGTAATTATGATTTATTGGTAATCTATTGTTGTGTTATATCTGGTTCAGTATAGTGATATAGTTCCTTGAATTTACAGAGAGAGCAGGAATGGACTTCGATGACATGGATTTCTCGGTGAGTATAAAGTTTTCTAACGCAGTAAATAAGTTGTAATTTTTTCTCCTCCAGAAACTTAGGATAGATGTGAGGTTTTGACATGCTTTTTAGAGGTACTTCAACATGGATATTGCTATTTGCTTCTGAATTTTGGTATCTTGACTTATCAAGTCCATTGATTTTGGGAACAATGGGCAACAATGTCAGATGGGAAGTTGACTTTTAGTTGGTTAGACTATTCTATTGAAAGTATGTTTTCTTCTCAAGGGTCATTTTGATATGACCCAAATGTTATTAACTCTGTAAGAGTAGAATGGAGGACGCCTAGTAGTGTTTTTGCCAACCTTGGAAGTGGAATACTGATTATGGGGGATGGTGACTTAAGTTCATTCTCTTGGTTGTACCTTAGAAATGAATTTACCCAATTTTGCATTTACTGATTCTTATTTATAATTTTTATGTGTCAATTGAATAAGAAATTCTTAGGCAAAACTTTGGAGAAACAAAGCAATTATGGATTGCTTTGTTCTTCTAATTTTTTGTAAATCAAGTCAGTCTAATTATTTCTGTATCAAGTTATGTTCTTTTAGCTCTTTGTGTGTGACAAGTACCTTTGTCAAGGATAGTTGGTGTTCTCAGGATGTTTAACAAGGAATCGAAACAAGTCATGAGGCCTCTAGCTCGGTTTAAATCTTAGAACAAGTCATGTCTTTTTTGCCTTTCCAAAACTCCTTTTCAGTTCATTGCTAACTGAAAGTATATTGTGCAGAACTTAGACATGGGTGGGGATGATCTTGATTTGGATGATTTGAAGGAACAGGAAGGTTAGAGCTTTTGTGAACTTTCTATATAAAGTCTGAAGTAAATGTTCTACAAAACCATTTTTAGATTAGCATGGGTGGCTGAGTTTGAGTTACCTAGTGACTACCATGCCTGTTTGTTGTGCAGCAACTTAACCAAGATATGGTTTTGTAATTTTAACATTGGAGTATTTTCTGATACACTCTGTGCAGATGAAGTCGAAACGAAAGAAGAGGATGGGCAGAAAGAGATGGAGGTGGGAGAACCGCCTGCACCGGTGGCTGAGGAAGCTAAGTCTTGATTGCTTTGGAAAGACAGAAAACGGAGACCCCTATCCTTGACACGAGCTGTGTGAAAGTGAGGTTTTATGGTTACTGGATCAATGAATGCTTACAAACTCAAGGTTGCTGAAATTGTGTGCCTTTTCTTAGGTCTAGCCTTTCTCAAATTGTGTCTCTTTTATTGTGTGTAGGCATTCTCACATTAGCATGTATGCCATACTCTCTCTATGTTGTCATGGCAGTAAGGATCAGTTCTGGTAAAAGGACATTTCTGGAGTCAAAATATCATGATACATCTTGTTTATGGCTATAAACGTTTTATTTCTTTTTTTATGGGTGTAAAGGTGTCTGTCACGCCAAGGCGATAGCATTGAGAACGAGGAATCCCCATCTGTGAAAGATTGGGGGAAAAATTGCTTGAAACTAGAGTGAAGATGAAGAATAAAAAGGCAAAGAATTATCAATTAAATGATAGATTTGAATATCAAGTGGAGAGTAAATTATCAAGTGGCTAATGCGAGGACCACTAACCTCTCTTTCCATTTCCTCTCCACTAACTTAAAATGAAATTTCTACCATTTTGATTTGATGCAGGGTAAATTTGGATGGATTAAATTTAAAGTTTTTATTTTTATTTATATTTTTATTTTATACTTATTAAAATAAAAAATAAGGTTTTTAATAAATTTATTTTAGTATCAATTAAAACAATGCAAATTTAATTTATATGGTTAAAAACTTGATATTAAATTTTCATATATTAATTATTCAAATTTATTCTGAATGGTTTGAATTTTAATATTTTTAATTATAATTTTTTTATAAAAATATGTTTTTGAAAAGTGTCCGTTGGGAGATTATATTCACTTTTAATATTATATTTATAAAAAAAATTATAAAAAATATAAAAAATTAATATTAAATTTAGACTGTGTAAAATTAAATAGTTAATTTATAAAAATTATAAAAAAAATTAAATATTAAATTAAAAGTACATATTAAATTTAGACTGTTTAAGTTGGTCATAAAGTAAATTTATTAATTTTTTTTATTTTAATAAGTATAAAATAAAATATAAATAAAAAGTAGAAAATTTAATTATGGAGTCTACCAAATTTGAATGGCCTAGATTTTATTTTAGGATAGTGGAGGGAAAATGAAGAGGAAGGTTAGTGAAGGGAAGTTAAGTTCAGTTGAGGAGGTTAATCTAATTCATCTACTAATGGTGTACCTCTATCTCTTATAATGCATTCCTCAAATCCTTGTGTGCCTGTTAACTGGAAAAATATTACCAGTCTCACCAGCCCATATTATAATCCTCACAAGGAGGTGTGGAAGGTGTTGTGGAGAAATTCATTAACCATCTAAGCATCTCGTGTTAATTAACGATTGCAGTTTTGTCACGCTATCACTTGAATGTTAATCACTTAAGCCCTTTTGGATGTCAGGAGCAAGAATCTATATCACACTTTATTTGTTGCAAAAAGAAGTTATTGATTCATCACAATATCAAAGACAAGCTCACAGATGATTAATGAGGAATTTTATGGGCGAATTCAATACCTGGATTCGATCTGCAACTGGAGCAAGCGTAGCCCCGGGGAAAAGATCTTACGTTTGGTTTGTCTGTGCTTTATTTTTAAAAAACAAAATTTTACTTTTGAAATTTTGTGGGTAAAATATTTTATAAAAAAATACATCCTAAAAGCATATCTACTGAAAGTGAATATAAAAAATATAATTATTTAAAGTTTTTAAAAAATAAATTTAAAAAGTAAGATGTATTATACTATCTCAAGTTTAATCTATTATTTTTTATTTAAAAAATAGTTAATTCATTAAATATAATTATTATTTTAATAATAATAATTAGGTATCAAGTTTTTAGTATTATAAATTAAATAATTAATCATGTTAATTTTTAGCATTCATGTATAATAAAAATTATAAATCTTTATCACATTGTTTAAAATTATAAATTAAAAAAGTATAACTAGATATTAAGTTTTTAGCATTATAGATCAAATTTTATGTTCTTTAAAATCTTTATCATATTTTTAAAATATTTTAAATATATTATATTTGTATAATAAAAATTATAAATCATTATAAATAAATATTTTTTTATAATTGTACATTCAAAAACACATTTTATTATTATAATCCAAACAACTTTTAATATATCAAATTAACTTTTAAAAAAATATATGAAAACACAAATTTCATTACAACAACTGATTTTTACTAAATTAATTTTTATCAAATAAATTTTTATTAAAAAATTTTTTAATAAACTAAAAATTAAACACACACTCAATTCATAGTATGGGTGAAGAGAATTCCAATGAGAAGGACCTTTTTAATAATTGTACGTTCAAAAGCACATTTTATTATTATAATCTAAACAACTTTTAATATATCAAACTAACTTTTAAAAAAAATATATAAAAACACAAATTTCATTACAACAACTAATTTTTATTAAATTAATTTTTATTAAATAAATTTTTAATAAATTTTTTTAATAAATTAAAAATTAAACACACACTCAATTCATAGTATGGGTGAAGAGAATCCCAATGAGGAGAACCCTTGTGTCATTGCGTGCTTGCGATGAGCTTTATTCTGGACGAGGAACTTCATAATCTCGCGCAACCGGCTATTGAACATCGTTAGTTATAAGAAGCTTCCATGATATAATTTAAAAAAAGACAAATATTTATTAGTGAATTTATTCTAAAATTGTCTCTCCTTTTTTTGCGTTCATTAAATATCTCTTTCTCTCTCTATTACTCTTATTAAATAATAAAGAATATTTTTTACAAGTTTGCTTTTTGGGGGGGTTGAAGTTTAACATATATTTAGTTCATTTCATTGGCAACTTGATTTTAAAAAATGTTTGTAAAATAAAATGGAGGGAGTACATATCTTCACTTTCATATGAAGTGAAGTTACTAAGATTCCGCTCTAAGAGGGGGCTAAATCGAGTTTTATAAAAATTTAGTTAATAATAAATTTAAAGAGATGAGTCACCAAAATATAGTAGAGAGTAAAAAGGAAAAGCTTGCACAGATTATTTATCCTGATTCAGTCATAACTACTCAAGCCTATGCCTTCAAATATTACTTAAGATTTTTTCCACTAACTTTACTAGGGTTAATTTGCGCTTTTGGTAGTCTTAATATAATTTCAGACTTATACTAAAGTCTAAATTACTCCCCTTACAAAGACAATAATTTATTTCTCTTAAACTTCTAGAATTTAAGATACTTTGTTCCACAAAAAAAAAATAAACAAACAAAGTAAGTTTAAAAATGAATTACTTCTATCAAATATTCTCTTTAAGCTCAATGAATACAAACTTAAAAAATTGATAAAACAATAAATGAAGTAACTTGCATTGCTCATTTGTGTGCATTCTTATTCACTATCTTCATAAATGCTTCAATTTAGTTGTGCTTCATAAATGATCTACTAGATTTATGAATATGATAGTTGGAGTTTTCATCTTCTTTCTTTTAAGCTTTCTCCGAAAAAGAGGCAATTGTATAGTGCCTTATGGCGAAGTTTCTCTCTTTCAATAAGTAAAGAAAATAACGGTTCTTTATAATAAATATTTTAACAATGTAGGTAAGAGCTTATTTCAGAAGAACAAAGTTATTTGAGAATAAAAAATTTTTAAAATAAGATCAATAAGTATTTAATCTAATCTGAAGTTATGTTTAAAAGGTTTTTAGGATTATAAAATAACTAACACAACTTTTAGAAGATGAAAATAATAAGAAATGATGAAGCTTCAAAGTTGCTCAAAAAGAGACATGAAAGCAGAGCATGAAACTTCATGCTTATTTGGAAATAAGCTGACTAACTTATTTTTAAATAGTGAAGAACAGCTTAACAAGAATGCAGAGAAGGCTCTTTTGAAGTAAGGATCATATATTTGAAGATCCTTATTTCAAAAATTGTTCCGAAATAACTAACAATAAAGAAACTATTTTAAAATAAGGATTACGACACAGACAACTCATAAAAGTTCTTAGAATCTATGAAGTATCAATACTTTAAATTGTTTCACATATCTATATCAGTATTGTGTTTGATACTAATACTTCCCAATACTTCTTCGATACGTACATGTAGAGTATTGAAATATTATTTTTTAATTTTTTTTTCATGTGTATTCGATACTTTTAGATTGCAAGTTAATACTTTAAAATTATTTTTAAAAATTAAATTTTGTTAAATATTGTGATATTAATTTTTTTATTCCCAATATATTTTTGTGATTTGCTTTTAAAATCAGATATTAGATTTTCCTTAAAAAAAAGTTTTAGATACAATAAAAAGATAAAAATTATACTTTTTTAATTATAACAATGTAAGAATATAATCTTTTGGCATTTAAATCTTAGGTGAGAAATTATAAGTCCAATTAATGAAAGTACAATTAACAATTATGTTTTACTTGATATTATTTTATAAGACTAAATATGTATGCTATTTTGGATATTTTTAAAATTAAAATTATATTTTTAATATTTATTATATATATATATACACCTATGCACTAATAGAAAATGTATGGTATCCTCTATTTTTAAAAATCAAAGTATCAAAGTATTGTATCTGATACACATATCAATATCCATGTATCATAGCTCAGAATTTTGATTTTTGATTTCAAGATCAATTGAAATACCTTTTAAGTAATACAAATGGTCCTTAGAAAATTAATATCAAGTCAAATATTTAATTTTTAGAGAGAAATACAATATGAGTATAAACAAGAATTGATTAAGTGGTTCTTCATTACTTGAGAATAAAATGCATATTTGGTAATAATGATATACCTATATGAGAATAAGATTCGAGAGCCATAATTTAAAATAAAGACAATCAATTCCCTTTCAAGTTGTTAATTCTTGATTATTGATCTTGTAAAATATAAACTTCTCTTATTTTATAATGATTAAAATTAGGGTTCAACAGTTATACTTTGTTACGTTTGTTTTTATTTAATGAATTGTCTTTTTTTTTTTAATTCCGCTTATCTCTTCACAAAAAAAAACTATCACTCATGCTTTTTAGAGCTTGTCAATGCTCAACAGTACAGTAGGGCTTTAATCCCCCCCGCTCCCAACTTTCTCCCATTTAAAGGAGATGCGATATCATCGCCAATGAGCTGTAGGTCAAATGACATGATCTCCCACCTTGCTGCAATGAATAAAACACAAGCCAAGAGATTCTTGGTTTTAATTAACAAAAATGATTTTGAAAGTGAGCTGCAAGAAACTAATCTCATATCATAACAAAG